TGCTACTCAGCAGCTTCAGGGGTTCCTTCCATGCCCCTTCTTCCAGGATCCAAGAACTGAGGGGTTAACAGCTGGCACAGTGGCATAGCCAGCACATGCTGAACATCTGCTTGTTGACCAGAGTTCCTTTCCTAAGGGTGGTAACAGATCTTGGTTGTGACCCAGACTGCAGAGAGTAAGTTTCTCTAATCAGTGATTGACCAGGCAGTCTACAACCTAGGGGCCTTCTTGTGAAGTAGAAGGGTGCTTACTATACATAAATAAGGTTGCACACACTACATCTATCTATACACATGGATGTACATATATAGAGTTATCTTACTATATAGTGCTATCATTACATATGGAAAACTGAAATAGTGTAGAAAATATTTTAATTTTATGCTATATTCCATTTATATATACTATATAATAGTTATATAAAATGTATCTTTATATAAAAATATATTTATATGAAAATAAATGTATAAATAATTATAATTAACAATACTTACAAATGTATATAATTATAGCTACATATTATATTACCTATTCAATTATATGTAATATATAAACTATATTTCTATATATGTGACTTAATATAGATAACAAAGTTAAATACAGACGATAAACCACATACATTTCCATATGTCTGTCTATAATATGTGTATGCAGTCAACTGCTCTGCTTTTGTTTCTATTGCTGTGACAAAATAAACTAACAAAAACCAGGAGTGTTACAGTTCTAGGTCACAGTCCATCACTGCAAGGGAGTCACAGTGGCAGGAGCTTGAGACAGCTGGTCACATGACATCCAGTCAAGAGCTTAGAGACAGGAACCCATGTGTGATAATTACTCAGCTAGCTCTCTCTACACCTTACTCTGTTGCTGCTGGAACTATTCTAGACCAACATAATTCCTTTCTGCATTCTTAATCTCATCCTTTTACATACAGATAGCTGTAGCTACCACTCTTCATCCAAGAAGCCTCTCTCTACAGCAAATAGACACCATCACAGGCAACCACAACTAGACACAATGCAGAGATCAATGGACCATGGTGAGTTCAGTCCCAGGGAATACATCTATAGCACAGAATCAGCGTCTGTTCCTAGGGGAACATCAAGGGAGAGTAGGGGAATGATGTGAGATTCTCTTCTATATGATATGAATATGTTTTATTACCATTGATTAATAAAGAAGCTTCTCTAGGCTGATGGCTTAACAAAAATGTAGCCAGGCTGAAAGAGATATAGAGAGAGAAAGTAGGCGGAGTCAGAGAGAAGCCATGTAGCTGCCACAGGAGACAGACACCAGATGGAACCTTACCAGTAGGCCACAATCACATGGCAATACACAGATTAATAGAAATAGGTTAATTTAAGATGTAAGCGCTAGCTAGGAATACACTAGAGTCATTGGCCAAGCAGTGTTGCAATTAATATAGTTTCAGTATGATTATTTCAGGTCTAGGCTGCTGGGAAATGAACGAGCAGTCTCCATCTGCAGGGGGAAAGATTATTAGAGCCAGAATACCAGGAAGTCTTCTGTGACACAGTCCCCCTAGACATAATATTGTAACAAGACCTGAACAAAGGCAGTATCAACTGGGCACGCTAATGTGGAAGGAGGAATTTTTATACTGTTTTTAAATAGATGTTTTAAAGAATTTCACATGAGTACACTGTATTTACACCATTTCTACCCTTCCTCCTGCCCTTCCATGTGCCAACTCCCCCTCCCTCCAGGATTCATGACCTATCTATAATTATTACACACACACACAAACAAACAAAACCTGAACCTATTTAGTGTTATATATATATATATATATATATATATGTTTAGGGCTAACTGCTTGGGACTAGATAATCTACTGGGTTTCTCATCCCTGGAGAAAACTGATTCTGCTTCCCTTGGTAGCTACTGATTGCCTGTGGCTTCTCATCTGGGGTAGGGCCTTGTGAAATTTCTCCTATTTCTGCTGGCATGTCAATTGGTGTGATCATTCTCCAAAACCTTGTTTAGGCAGCCATATTGCTGAGATGTTATGGGTACAGTGTCCCTGTGTTGTCTAGAAAACAGTCTCACAGCAGGCATCCTGATCCTCTGGCCTTTATGAGCTTTCCACTTCTTCTTCCTAGATGTTCCCTTAGGGTGTACTAATTCAGGCCAGGGCCCCGCAGTCTGTTGTTCTCTGAATTTTGCCTAGTTATGGCTTTCCGTGATGGTCTCCATCTGCCGCAAAAATAGGAATGTGTTGGCTTGATGAGGAGTGTGATAGTTTGAACTTGAATGGCCCCCATAGGCTCAGACATTTGAGTGCTCAGTCTCCAGTGGAACTGTTTGGGAAGGACTAGGAGGTGTGGCCTTGTTGGAGGAGGTGTGTCTGAGGTTTCAAAAGATTCCTGTGTGAATGAGCGTGTGTTCTTGCCAACTGAAATGGTTATCTTTTTCTGTTCTTCTCCAGAAGATTAACTGTAGTTCCAGAAAATTGATCTCTTTGTACAATCCAAAAATCTACACATTACCTAGAATGCCTGATCAGTGCAATTTATTTTCATGAGTAATTGCTAGAGGGCCAAAATAAAGTTTTAAATGCAAAAAAAAAAAAAAAAGATTCCTGTCATTCTCGGTGTCTCTGCCTCTGTCTCCTGCTTGTGGATAAAGATGTGGGCCACAACTATTCCTGCTGACATTTCACCATCATGGTCTCTAACCCCCTGAAACCATAAGCCAATTACATACTTTTTTTAATAAGTTACCTTGAACATGGTGTTTTAGCTCAGCAATAGACAAGTAACTAAGGCGGGGTGAAAGTTACACTTACCTGAGGATACAGGAATAAGTATCACCAGGCTGGGCCTTGCTGTACTAATTAAGAACCAAGACAATCCCCCACCAACATGCCCACAGGCCAACCTGGTCCAGAAATCCCTCATTAAGACTCTCCCCAAGTGAGTGAAATTAATCCTTGGTCATGTGAAGCTGACAATTTAAAGTATCACCACATTAACTAATCTAGCCCATACTTCCACCACTATTTCAACTATATACATTTATATGTAAATATAGCATACATTTACATATATGCATTTAACTTATATTATTTTGCTGTATTTTATAGATTTGTATATTTATTCAGTAAACATATATATGTATGTATATGTAGTAAACATATATACATATATGCATCTATAATATGAACTTGATGCACTGGGGAGGTATTTACATGTTAGCGCATGGCATTGGGTTCTGCCCAAGTTTTAGGCATCAGGACTTCAACCAGGTGCTAAACTGGGTGGAGATCAAAGCAAAGGAGAAACTCAGAAGCTCGGGGGTAGAGAGGTGGTTAAGGGTCAAGAAGACATTTTACTTTTGCACAGAACCTGAGTTCTTTCCCCAGCACCCACCTTGTACAGTTCACAACAGCCTGTAACTCCAGATTCAGGGGATCTGATACCCTCTTCTGGTCTCCATGGGCACTACACCCAAGTTTGCATAACACACACAAGTAAAAACATCTTTTTTTATATTAAAAAAAGAAAAATGTAAGCTGGAAGAGACTCAGAATTGGTGATCAAATCTCAACCAGGCAGGAAGAGGATGCTCATGTTTAGAATAATTGTGGGGTGCGGGGGTGGGCAGGAATTAAACATGGCATGTCTCTATAGGTCTCAGAACTCATCTACTTCTCTAAAAGTGGAACCACTCAGGCCAGATATCCAGTGAGCTACCAAGACCCTTCCAAGCTGACTTGCCTTTTCTGGCTGCCCTCTACCTTCCTCCTGGGATGCTGACAACTAACTTTCCCTCAAAGAGTCCAGTATTCCAGTTAACTTTTTTCTTTTTCTTTTCTTTAGCTTTACACCATTTTTCTTTTCTTTTTCTGATAGTTAACACCAAGTAAACATTAGAAATTTTTTAAAAATCCAGACCATACATCATCTCCCCAAGAGTGCCTTTGAGTAACTGCCACCTCCGTCAAGAAAAGCCCCTCTGATTTCCTGTCCCTCCCTACCTTGTATGCCCAGCTGCTACACTCATCTGTGAGCACATTAACCCCACTCTAGAAAAAAAAAAAAAACGTAAACGAGGTGTATAAAATCCCACTCGAACACCAAACTGAGTCCGGTGACTCAGCCATTCCCTTCCCAGCTTCACAATTGCGGGATCCGACTCCAAATGACTGGCTCTTCCCATCGCGCCTGACAGGGATCCCTCTTCCCTGGTCAGGAGGGTCTACAAAGCCTACAAAGCCGTGCCAACTTTGACTACAGGGTCAAGAATAACGACAGGTAATAGCACCATTTCGCCTCATTTTCTACCTGGGGCATCCTCCCCCACAAGCTTCATCTTGTCAGGTTCATGCGGCTACAGATAAACTGCAAGCTTCGAGATGGAAGGCCGGCTTTGCAAACGGACATAAAATCAGAACAATGACCCCAACACAAACACAAAGGACACTAGAAGCCTTCTTCTTCCTTTCCTGAAACAATTGCAGAAACTCCTCAGACTGTCCTGGCAAGACGCCTTGGGTCTGAAGCACCAGGTGTGGCCTGGAAACTGAGCCTTGAGCGCCATCTAGGAACAGAGGGCGGCACTGCAGGCTCTCCGGGACAAGCAGAAATTGCTTGTCTGGGTTCTAGTTGGTCATCTATGAACTGTGTCTCCGGTGAGGCCAGACTCTCTGCCAGGGATTCATGGGCCTTGCGTTCAGACCACGCCACTTCTGTAGCTTTGTAGTTCTGGCATTTTTCTTTTATTTTCAAAGCAAAGATTCCCATGCCAACCTTACTGGGTGAATAGAGGATTAAGTCAGAAAAACTGTATAAGCTGGCATAGAATATGAAGCAAACAAAAACTGCTATTCTCTTCACCCCTGACGTCACATCTGTTGCTGTGATAAAAGATATTCTGGGGGAAGCGACTAAGGAGAAGGGAGAGTTTTTCCGGCTTCTAATTCCAGGGTATAGTCCACAACCAGAGCAGAGAGGAATAAATCCACCCACTCTGCCTACCTGCCCATGCTTTCTTCTCTCACGCAGTTCAGGATCACGCCCATGAAATGGTGCTGCCCACCTCCCAACCAGGTTCCCCACCAACTAGCCATCAAGGGACTCTCTCACAGACATGCTCACGGGCCAACCGGATCTACGCACTCCCCCACTGAGACTCTCTGCCCAGGTCATGTCAAGTTAATAATTAAAGCTAACCATCACACCCCCGTAGGCCACAAACTGACTGAGTCCTCAGACAAGTCACCCGGGGAAGGAAAAGTATTGTTGGGCTCACCTGGGAAGCAGGACGGGACCCTCGTGGGGGTTTGGGAAGGCAGTTATAACAGAAAGCAATATCTACAACATGTTGTCTACAGCAAATGTGCAGCTGGTGAGGGAGAAATGAGGGGGAAGACAGTGAACCGAGCCCTCCTCGCATGGACCCCGAGGTTGAACAAGAAGAAAGATATAGAGATAAATAGGGCCGTCTTAGCGAACGAGCCCAATGTAAACAGTGTTAAGTAACGTAGTAGGCGCAAACAACGTCAACGCTATCTAGGCTGTTCCTGTTACATCCCTTCATCCCTACACACACAAAGGATTGTTCTACCTGCACACAAAGAGAGAGGTCGAGCAGAGGCATAAGAGAAATAGCTCAGCAGGTAAAGGTGCTTGCTCCCAAGACTGACTAGCTGAGCTCAATCCCTGGGACCCACGTAACGGAAGGAGGGGCCGGTCACCGTGAGTTGTCCTCTGACTTCCACATATGCATGGTGGCCCATGTACATGCGCTCAGAACATACATGAAAATAACTAAATGTACTGTCTTTAAGTGGGAGAAGATCTACTCCAGCCTGCACACTTGGTGACCTCGTCTCTTTCCTACAGATGGCTTCCCCACTTCTGCCGCTGAAATGGAACATCTTATAGCCGGAGGCTCCCATCCCTCTCTCCTTCCTCCCTGCCCCCAGAACCTCATCAGCCTGACGTCCCAATTCTAACTTCTTTGTGCCTTCCTCACCCTGTTCTCCCAATTGCCTGTCTCCAAACCCTGTCCAGATGCCTTCTACCTCCTGCCTGGACCTGCAGAAGCCTTTCCCTGGACTCTCAGAACTCCAGTTCCTCCTGCGGGAACTCTCAGAGACTCAGACCCTGCCCAGCAGGACCAGCAGAAAGTGTAACCCCTCCTGGATGCAGACCATCCTCTACAGAGCTTTCTGTATGATCTCTGCTTTCCCCAAATGTGGAACTCTCAAGAGAGAGGGTCATGTAACAGCTTGTTACAACAAGCACTGGAAAGGTACCGTGAGCCATCAGGGGAAGGCAAGTCCAACAAGCAAGGACGTATCCTTTTCTAACACCAGATGGGGAAGATAAGCAAAGAAGAAGGATGTCCATGATGGTGTAGTGATGGAGGAAGGTCATTGGCTAATAAAGAAACTGGCTTGGCCCATTTTATTGGTTAGAACATAGGTGGGTGGAGTAAACAGAAGAGAATTCTGTGAGGAAGAGGAAGTGAGGTCAGACCCGACAGCTCTGCTCTCTGGAGCAGAGACACCATGCTCTCCCGATAGCTCTGCTCTCTGAGGCACACGTGATGAAGCTCCAACCCAAGATGGACATAGGTTAGAATCTTCCCGGTAAGCGCACCTTGGGGTGCTTACACGCATTATTAGAAATGGGCTAGTCCAGGTGCGAGAATTAGCCTAGAAAAGGCTAAATAGAAATGGGCCAAGCAGTTCTTAAATAAATACAGTTTGTGTGTTGTTATTTCGGGCATAAGCTAGCAGGCGGCTGGGGTGCTGGGGACGCAGCCCCGCCGCTCTTATTTCAACAGTGTAGAGGATAGAGTCATGGTTCTCAACCTGGGATTCGTAAGAGAGGCACAATTACAGTTATGAAGTAGCAACGAAATAACTTTATGGTTGTAGTCACTGCAATGTGCGACA